AAATTGAGTGTAAAAATACCATTGAATTAATAAAAGTAGGAGTTCGTTTTATGAAAAAACCAATAAGATAGATAACCCATTGGTCAATATGATTTTAAAAAAGAAAACCAAAATGAAAAGGGTGACATACCACTATCAAAGATGAAAAGAGGGAACATCATATACCTCTAAAAGGGTATAAAAATATTTTAAACTTAGAAAGAAATAAAGACAAGGGGACAGGATAAGGTAGGAAGTTTTAGAAGAATGTATGGATTAATATTTAGGAGGGTGGAGGAGAAGATAATGGAGGACTCTTAGAGGGATGGGTAGAATAAGGAATAGGGTAAAGGGAGAGGGTAAGAAAAGGATTCTTTAAAAGAATGCGGTTTAGGGAAGTAGTGGTTAGATCTAAACTAAAGTGTGAGGGGAGCTAGGGTAAAAAGAGGTTGAGAAGGGCAATAGTGAGGAAAAGTAGATTGGTGGGAAATGTAAAAATAGCAATTATAACTTCAAATGTGAATTTGATGAACTTGCCCATGAAAGGGGTAGCAGAATGGATTAAAAAATCAGATTCCAACAAAATGTTGTTTAGAAGAAATCTCTTTTTGTTAACTGTTGAATGACCTACAATTGTCTCATTTTTTTCCATTGTGGAACATGAACTACCAGGGGACTGACCTGAGTCAGGCCCAGTATAGAATATAGATCCAATCCAATAAACATTTATTAAGCACCTACTCTGTGCCTGGCACTGTGCTAAGCTCTGGTGATACAATTGATTTAAAAAAGAAAAAAGTCCCTTCCTTCAAGGTTCTTACTATCTAATGGGGGGAGATAATACACATAAAAAGAGGAGGGTAGGATTTGGGGGGAGGGCCACCAAGAGATACCCAGAGAGGGGGTATCTTGTTCTGTGAAGCTGAAACCAGACAGTTGTAGATGCAACCTAATTTTTACTCTTTAAAGGAAAGCATTGGGAGGGGAAGGCCACTCTCAACCCATACGCTGCTAGTTTGAAACTCCACCCTCAATCTGAGGGAGGTGGTATCAATCTAGGCTTAGTTTAGTGGTATGGTGATGAGATTAGAGGCAATGAGCCTAATCTGGGAGGGGCCTCTGTGGGCTTTAAATCAGGCAGAGCCCACTAGATGCAGTGTGGAGTTGCAGGTGGTTTGTGTTTCTCAAAATTCTGGGCAATATTACTTTTTCTCTGGTAATGCTAGTTTTTCAGATATTATTGGCAAAAGAGTAACTGTCACAGCTGTCAGTTCTTTGAGTACTTGAGGATATAGTCCATCAAGAACTGGTCATTTAAATTCATAGAAGACAGGTAGGTACGTGTTCTATTCTTACTTATCTTGGGTATTGGCTCCCCATTAGCAGTTTTTGTTAAGTGCTTTCCAGTCCAAAGATTATTTGCTTTGCAGAGAAACAAAACAAAAAAAGAATAGTTCTCTCTATTTCTGTTACTCAGTCCAGTCCTCAGTAGAGTTTTCTTTGATTCTTTTAACAATCCACATAGCAAAATCCAAGTCCTGGTTTGAAGTGAAAAGAACCTCTTAGCTCTTGGAATTGTTGGTAGATCTCAGAAGAGAGATAAGGCTTAGAAATTTGTAAATCATCTGCAGGTAAAGTGGTAGGTGAAACAGAAGTGAATGAAACTGTCAGAGTAGAATGAGAAGAGAGAAAAAGAAAAGTTCAAGGATAAGCATGAAGATGAATAAATATTAAAAGATGAGGACCCAGAAAAAAGACAGATAGTATCAGAAGAGTAGGCTGTCTACAAAGCCTAGGCAAGGGAGAGAACATCCAGTAGGGTGAAGTGGTTAACTGTGTTCAAAGCTGCAGGAATCAAGGAGGGTGGGTACTGAAAAAAGCCCTTTGGATTTGGCAGCTAAGGACCATTGGTGACTATAGAGAGTATAAATACAATAGAATGGTGGGAGTAGCAGGCTTTCTGTAAGCAAGTAGTGCCTGAGCTGAGCTTTGTATAGTAGGAAGGGGACTGGATTTGGAACCAGAAGGTCTGGTTTCAAATCCTAGCTACTTACTAACTAGGTGATGATAGCAGGCAAGTTATTTAACCACTGAGACTCGGTTTCCACATCTGAAAAATTAGAGGGTTAAGTCAGGTGATCTCTTCTCTCTTTCATCCTTAAATTTCTGACCCTGTGATTCTAAGACAGATGAGGAGGGGGAATGCATTGAAGTTATAGGAGACAAAGATTCAAAGACAGGAGATAGAATGTCAATTTTGGATAATAGCTAATAAGCCAATTTGACTGAAATGTGGAGTAGTTCAAGAAAAGAAAATAATATGAAATATTTGAAAAGAGTTAAATTCTTTGGCATTAAATTCCACAGTTTTCTATTTACTAGAAGCAATAGCAGGGAACAACTGAGGATTTTTGAGCAGGGAAGTGACTTGTGTTGTAGTAATATTGATTTGGCAGCTGTGTGGAAGACAAATTGGAGAGTAGAGACTAGAAGCAGGGATATGTAATGAGGCTATGAATTAGGGTAATTGTCATGTGAATGAAAAGAAGGGGAAGGTCATGAAAGAGGTTGAGAAGGTTAAAGTAACATCCCTGGCAACTGATTTGATATGGAAGTGAGCAAAAGAATTGTTATTTGTTAAGAATTGTTATTAATTGTTAAGAAAGGTTATGAGCCTGAGTGACTTAAAGATTGGTTATGCTCTCAACAGAAATAAGGAAGTTTGGAGGAGCAGTGGGTTGGGAGTGGAAAAAAGGTAAGTTCCATTTGGGGCCTCTCAGACTTTAGGTGCCAATGGGACAGCCAGATAGATATGTCTGTCAGGTACTTGGTAGTGCAAGACTAGAATTCAGGAGAGAAATTAGTTTTAATATATAAAATTTTTTGAGTCATTTGCACACATAATTAAACCTTTGGAAGAGCACCAAGAAAGAGCGTTTGGAGAAGGGTGCCCAGGACAGAACCTTAGGAAATGTCTACAGGTTGGATTGTAGACAAAGATCCAATAAAGAAAACAGGGGTGACTAGGTAGCCGAAGAACCAGAGGAGAGCAGTGCCACAGAAGCCATGTGTCCAGGCAAAGGTGGTGAAAAGTGTCAAAAGTTGCAGAGAGGTCAAATAGAAAGAGAAAAAGGCATCTGATTTAGCATTTAAGAGATCTTATCATCATGGAGATAGTATTTCAGTGGAGTCTTGCCAGACTTTTAAGGGGTTCAGAAATAAGTGGAGGTGAGGAAATGAGGGCAGTGAGTGTGGAAGACTCTAAAGAGGTTTAATATTCTCCTGAGGGGCTGTGGGTGTGTAAAACATGCATACACGTCTGTAAATATAAGATACTGTGAGAAAGGGAAGACCACTAACGACTGCGGGGAATCAGGAAAGGCTTCCTGTGGGAGGTGGCATCTGGGCTGAGCTTTGAAAGAGGCTTAGGAGTCTATTGAGGTAGAGGTGAAGAAGGAGTGCATCTCAGGTGTGTGCAAAGGCATGGAAGTTGGAAGTGGGACCTCAAATTTGGGAAATAAAAATTAGGTCAATATGTCTAGAAGGCAGAGTCTACATGAAAGGGAATAATGAGAAATAAGTATGGGAAAGACCCAGTATGGGCTGGATTCAGATCGTGAAATTCTTTAAACAAGCTGAGGAGTTTGTGTTTTACCCACAATGCAGTAAGGAATCACTGAAAGTGACATAGGCAGACCTATGCTCTGGAAGATGATTGAGGAGGGGAGAGACTAGAAAGAAGGAAGACCAAATAGGAGACTGTTGTCCATGTGAGAGGTGTGATAATAGCCAAACTAGGGTGATTGACCCTATGAGTTGTGGAGATAGAATTACTAAGTTTGAATGTGGGAGGTGGGGATGTAGGGTAAGAGTTGGGGATGACTGAAGTTGCAAAACTGAGTGACTGGGAGAATGATTGTGCCCTGGGTAAAAATAGAGCTGTGGAGGAGGGATGGGTTTAGGAAGATTTCAGTTTAAATTAATTTGTGTCAGCTATGCCTTGGACACTCTGATAGATGATGTGCAGTTATCCTACCCTCAAAGAATTTACAAGTACAAAGATAAGTAAATATACGATATTTACAAGAGAAATACTAGGCAGTTTCTGCTTTTAGGGTACTCTGACTACTGAATGAATCAGAAAAGGCCTCTTGTAAGAGCCAACTCTTGAGCTGATCCTTGAAAGGAACAAGAGATAACCAAGATGTGGACTCAATTTCCCCAATGCAAAAAACATTAAATTCCTACTATGTGGCAAGCATGAAGGGATACAATTAATACAAAGAAAGACAGTCCCTGCCTTCAAGGAGTTTACAGGCAAATGGGGGAGACACACAAAAGTAGACTAGAAAGTGGGGGAAGTTGGGGGACAGGACACTGAAAGCCCAGTTTCTGCCCTCCATAAAGGAAGGCTTTAGGAAGAGTTTGGTACTCCACCCTCCAGAGGGGAGGGGAAGGCTGGGGAAGATTGTGTCAATCAAGACTTGTTGCCTGCTTGGTGATCAGATTAGAAGTGAGGAGCTTGTTCTGGGAGAGGCATCAAGTAATAGATGAAAGCATAGACAAAATCTGGCAGTTGAAACCTAGAGAAGTTATGAACAAATACCATCCTTTAGTTTTTCCTTTTTGCCTTTGAAAAAGGTAAGAAAGAAGTTGGTATAGAGAACTCAAAATAGACATCTGTATTAATTTCTATTAAATTCTTTACAGGTGGTTTTTTTCTTTTTAAAAATAATATACAGGTAAATGAGTTTCCCAAAGGTGGGTTGTTTTGCTCATCCCCAGTATTGTTCTTACAGAATAAACATTCAAAGTGGCCTTATTGTGACTTTAATTTTTTCCCCCCACAAAGTAACATGCTTACCTGAAGTTGACCAGTGATGTTCCTTTATACACAGGTGATATAAAGCATTGTTGGATAATGGAATGCATTCAGAATAGTGTTTGGTGATTTTTCTAGAGACATTCCTAAGAGCAATCGAGCATATTAATTTTTCTCCTGATTGGATTTTTTTCGTTAGCTCCTGTCTCCGCTCCTGGCTTGAACAGGATACCTCCTGTCCTACCTGCAGAATGTCTCTGAATATTGCTGACAATAATCGAATCAGAGAGGACCAGCAAGGGGAGAACTTGGATGAGAATTTGGTGCCAGTGGCAGCAGCTGAAGGCCGGCCTCGCCTAAATCAGCATAACCACTTCTTCCACTTTGATGGTTTGTTAGTTGTTTTTAACCATCTGAGACTCCCCCCAAATCCTTAAGCCCAAACCAAACTAGGGTGACTACAGAACCTTAGATTTTGCCTCTGTCTTTGTTGAATTTGTTTAACCTTGGATAGTGTTATCATAGTACGGTCTGGATTTAGAATGGGTGGGAACCCTGATCCCATGTAGTCTGGTCACTTCCATCGCACAGAGGAGGAAAGCCCAAAAAGGTTGAGTGACTTCCCCAAGGTTACACAGGCTGTAAAAAGCAGAGTCAGGATTTGAATCTAGCTTCTCTGCCTCCAGATCCGGGAGACTTTTCATTGAAGATTATGTCTTCTTTATAAAGAAAAGAGAAAAAATGAGTATTTCTGTAAATGGCTAGATCTTGACTTTTACTTGAATTTAATTCTGTAAGCAAACTCCTTACCTTTGTAACTCCACCCTTCACTTTAAGACAAAAACTTGACCTTTAGGCAAATTTCTCAGGAATATCAGTAAAGAGTGGAGTTGCAGAGGTAAAGGAATTTAGCCTTCCAACACTGAGGGAGAGTATTAAACCCATGCCAGCTTAAGTTTTAAAAATAGAATTAAATTTGACTTCTTTGGATTGGGGGTGAGAGAGAATGGAGTCAAAGAGGCCAATTAGGTTATTTGGATAGTCTATGCAAAAGCTGGTGTGGGCTCGACTAGGGTGAAAGCCATGTGAATGGAAAAGAAGGTGACTAATTTGAGACACGTGAAGACAACCCAAAAGATTTGGCAGGTGATTGGCTATGGAGGGGTAAGGGAGAGCAAAGAGTTGAGGATCCCTCCAAGGTGTAGTGAGACTCAGAACAAAAGTACAGTGGTTAAGGAGAAGGTAAGTTTAAGGGGAAAGAAAATGAGTTTTGTTTTGGATGTACTGGATTTGAGAATGCCTGTGGGACAGCTGGATATTTAGCAGGCAAATGGTAATGCAGAACTGGAATTCAGTGGGGAGAGATGATAAATGGATTTGTAAGTGTGGAAGTCGAGGCAGCTGGTCCTGAAGTCAGGAGGACCTGAGTTCAAATGTGGCCTCCGACATCTGACGTTTACTAGATGTGTGACCCTGGGCAAGTCACTTAACCCCAATCCCTAGCGCCCCCCCCCCAAAAAAATGTGGAAGTCCTCTACAAAGAGATAGAGACTATAAATGCGCCTGCACGAACTCTTGAGTGTAGAGAAAGAAGGAAAAATGCTCAAGAGCGCTGGAGTATGCTTTCACATAGGTGCTGGGATGTGGGTGATAATCCAGCAAAAGAGAGTGAGGAGAAGAACCAGAATAGAGTATTAGTGTGAAAGTCCAGGGAGGAGAACATAACCAAAAGGACTGCATCAGACCTAAAGAGGCTGGGTGATCTTGAGGATAGTTTTAGCTCTGAGTTTGGAGGTTGGGTTGGGGTAGAGATGAGAAATTGGTCCGGGGGGTGCCTGTGAAGGTCCAGATCACCCTGATCAATATATAGGAGGTACTTCAGAGATGACAGACTAGTTTCCAGGTATGCTTTGAGAAGTCTGGCAGCTCCTTGAATAATTCAAGACCCTAAGTACATTGTGATAAGTATGGATTTGTACATGCATTCTTGGACCACGATTATCCTGAGCTTTTAAGTTCAGGTTGCCACAGAAGAGAGCAAATATAAGGCATGCATTCTTCTGTTGAATATCCACAAACCAGGGGTAGCTAGGTGGCGCAGTGGATAGAGTACCGGCCCTGAAGTCAGGAGGACCTGAGTTCACATCAGGCCTCAGACCAAACACTTGACACTTACTAGCTGTGTGACCCTGGGCAAGTCACTTAACCCCAATTGCCCCCCCCAAAAAAATCCACAAACAAACTGGGTTGTCTACACCGGCCATTACCTTTCTCTAGAATGGGCTGGCCCTGTGGATACAACCAGTGAACTCTCTTTTGCCACCACCTCTGAAAAGGTGCTTTAACTATGAAAGGATAAGGCAGGTATTAGATTAAGAGGTGATTGCTATAATTTGGTATGATTTGATATTTACTCAAGAGATTCCCCATCCCCTTTTTCAACATACTAATAAAAATCTTTGTCAGGGGCTTGATAGGGCAGGGAAGAGACCAAGAGAAGCATAAGGCCTGATAAAAGGTTAGAATGGATCATGGAAAGAACAATTTTAGTCAACTGTCAAGTACAGAAGCCAGATTTTTCTAGGAGTTATGCTGTGAATGAAAGAAATGTGGGATGAGTGGTTTGAGATGTTTTTTAAAGAACGGGTGAGTTACGAAGTACATTATTTGAATATTTACATTATAGTTTGATAATAGTGAAAAAGAAGTTCAATAAGGACTAAGTAAGGGTGAAATGAGGAACATTGAATCCTCTCTGACATTGGGAGAGAAATTTGAAAATTTCTGGACTCTCATACTTACATGTTCTTCCTATCTGCCTTTAGGTTCCCGAATTGCTAGCTGGCTGCCCAGTTTTTCAGTGGAAGTGATGCATACCAACAACATCCTGGGCATTACTCAAGCAGGCAATTCCCAACTTAATGTAATGGTAAGCATGGTTTTAAAAAATTCTACATTTTCTTTGCAACTGTCAATTTTACATTGAGAGGAATGAAAATGATCCACCTTCTTTAAACAGTGGATATTTGGGAAGAAAAAGCTGTGAGAATCCTTCCTGTGTTATATACAAATTTTATTTTGATCTTGCTCGACCCTGGCAGTTTGTAAAATTTTAAGGGTAGTAAAATTCTCATTCAACTAAAAAGACCTTGAGATTTTTTGTTTTGTTTTGTTTTTTAATGTCTAGAGTAAGCTTCGGCTTTGATCTTGCTGCAGGTAAGCAGAGTTAAAAGGTGTGTCCAGGGCATTTCATTTTCTCTGCTGTGTTTGAGTCCTACTTTTTGACTTCTTTTCACTTGTTTCAGTGAAAATGTCTTTCAAGAGTCAATTTCCAAAGTGAATATTGATCATTTAATGATATGCCAAATGGTGGTGCAATCTAACAATATTTCATTTATTTTTTCCTTGTGGTTTTCCATGGTTTATACCTGTCATTTTTCTGGGCTTCCTGTGGTGCCATTTTAAACATCTAATGTCTTACTTCTTAAAATAAGAAAGTTGCAAGATCCTTAGTTTCTCATCCTGTTAAAACACAAGGGAAAAGTGAGTTGTATTGTGGCTATCTGAATCTATAGGGCCTCAGTTCGCTTACCTGCAAAATGAAACGTTATTATTAAATAATTTTTAGAGCTGTCCAGAAGCAAATCTTGTAACATTACTTTACTGATTGCCTTTTAATAATGTTCTAGGAGCAATATTTCATTAAGCCAGACAGCGTCATTTCTGGGATGTTACTCCATAGACTAGGAGATTTCTGCTTTCTTTTGTTTTTTTAAGCTCCCTGTCCACGGGCTAATCTCTTCTGGGGCATTGATTGTGGTGCATAGCTGTTTTAGAGTCAAGCAGTTTTCAAAGCTTCAAAGCTTGACAGGTGGAGCCCACTTTTTTTTTTTTCCATTAGAACTATTACAGCTTAGCTGGAAGTATGAGGTGTTCAGAGTTCTCAGGCAGGTTAACAGCTGGACTTCAGGAGGACATAGTAGTTTGGAATGGAGTCTGTTCTTAGCACAATTAATTTTTTAAAAAATCTTCATAAAAGTATTTAATATACTGTAGGAATATTGAAGTGATTTCGGTGTGGTTTCTGATTTGCAGTTTTGTTTTTGTTAATTGATTTTTCTGCTCCTATCACTGGTCTGTACAAATCCTTGGGCACATATATTGGTGTTCAACACATTTTATTGCAAATACTAGAGCAGTGGTTCTCAGGTATTTCAAATACAAAAAACTAATTTTAGGTACTATCGTTGTTGATTTGTGGAGTATTCACACTTAAGAATAGTTGCCCTTCTCTTCCTACCATCATGATTCTTAGTACCATTCCTTCCTAGAGGAAGCTGCTGTTGTTCCTTGGGAGTGTTTTCTTCCCTTTTACCATTGCTGTTGCCACTGAAGACCTGAACTATTTCCTAGCAAATATCATCACTGCCCAAATAACATTAACTGGCTTGTGTACCTTTTATGGTTTATAGGTCTTTACTTTTGTCCAGGACTCTTCCTGCTGCCTGGGATATACTGCTTATTGTGAACACTGAGCATCCTAATTCTCATTGAGTGGAGGATTTCTTAGTTTCAAGTTGAAATAATTTTCCCTGTAGATAACAATATTGGATGTGATAGATTCATTAGTGCTACTAGTTCGTGATCTAGTTCAGTTACACAATAGATTAAAATAGATTTGGTGAACTTAACCACTGCATTGTTTCTTTGGAAAAATACATCCCAAGTAAACTTTTGGAATACAACCTGTTCTTAAGTTGAGGGGTGCCTGGAACTTCCAATCCTTATGGCCCTTGAGAATGCTCAACTTTAAAAATCATTACTTAATCTCGAAAGTGCCAGTATTCTCTATATTCATTTTAGAATGTGATTCCTTGGTATGTTCTTCTGTTAGAAAATTTTTGTAGATTTCTTGAATATTTTATAAGTAATGTTGTTCTCAGATCTTTATCTGGTAACTATGAATGCTTTAAAAGGGTTCAGTTTACTCTTTGATCCCCAGATACACTTTTGTTCCCACAGGCTCATCAAATTCAAGAAATGTTTCCCCAGGTACCATACCATCTGGTTCTGCAGGATTTACAACTGACACGTTCAGTTGAAATAACAACAGACAACATTTTAGAGGGGCGAATTCAAGTACCTTTCCCTGCACAGGTCAGTTTTGAGTTCTAAGAATGGCAAAAATTGCTTCCATTTACAAGGCAAATTAATTTCTGGTATTCATACAGTACTTAAAATATAAAATACTTTTTGATCTCTTGTGATAGCTCTAAGGAAAATTAAAAGAAAAATTAAATAGACCTGATACTTAGCAGAAATAGTAATCTTTGAAAATTCTGATTTCTATAGGAAGTTCCTCTGTCCTTTTTAAAAAGCATTTGTAGTATTTTGTGTTTTTCCTTCATAGTGACCAATTATATATTAATATATTATGCCACGGGTACCAGAGTTTTCTTGGGCCCACCCCATGTGTTACCAATATAGTTTTTTCACCTTTCAGTGACTCTACTAGATGCAATCTGTTACTATATGCAATCTGGTTTCCCTTCTAGCGGCCAGACAGCCTTAGACCTGCATTGAACAATTCTGTAGAGAGGTCAAATGACCAAGAAGAGAATGAAATCTCTACTCAGGTAAACTCATATCAGTAATTAAGAGAGTATGCTTTTGTGTATGCAAAAGAGCAGTACTCCCCCTCCCCTGCAAAACACATAGACACACTCACGGTATCAACATGATGATCTAGGGAATTCTTTGCCTATTTTTATATTCTAGGGCAGTGTTATCAAACTCAGAAATGGTGGCTATTAATACATTCGTAAGGATTCCTGTAGGTTGCAAACTGATTTAGTTTTAAAATGTAACGTTATCTATGTTTTATGCATTTTTATTTTTCTTAAATATTTCTCAATTACATTTTAATCTGGTTCACAGTGCACACAGCACTGTTGCGAGTTGTATGTTTGACCTCTGTGTTCTAGGGAATTCTTTTTTTAACCTAGTATTAGCTTCTTGTGTGAAAATTTTGGTTTGACATTAGTCAAGACTACCTATTCTGTCTTGTATACTATATTTTATATGTGCTTCTAATAAGGAGTAGTATGACTATTGATGCTAGGAATCAAAGGAATCAAAAGCTTTCATTTAAAAATCCTTCAACTGAATTGCCTGTCATTTGAAAAAAGTAAATGACATTCTCTCTGCCATTTACTATGTGAACTTGGGTGAGCTTACTGTTTCTCTCTCTGGGCTTCAATTTCACATCTGTAAAATGAGAAGGTTAGTTTAGATGGTACCAATAGCTTCTTCCAGCTCCTAATCCTGTGATTGGTTGAACCAGACAGATTGTGTTGTATTAGAGTTAGTGTTGCTCTACAGCAGGGCTTCTTAAACTTTTTCCACTTGCGACACCTTTAGCACTTCTTAAACTGTAGGTTGAGAAAACCCCATATGAGGTTTAAGAAGTACTGCTAGAGGATGGGCTTTTAATATTCTTCCAAAAAGTTGCTTGAATCTTTTAAAAAACATTTGATCCTTTGTTCTTACAGTTCTCTCACTTCCTAACTACTTTTTACTAGTCAATCTCTTGGGAGTGCCCATTTACTCATTTTGGAGAAAATGTCACTAGTTTTGATATTTCCAGTTTAGGAAATTAAAACGTTCTCATTTTATTTCTAAAAAGTAAAATCTAGGAGGCATATGTCATGTTGTCATTCCATCCTTTTGGTTGAACTCTTTCTGCTTGCCCCTGTATCTTTTTACCTTGTTATAAACCTGGTGGAAAGACTTGTGATTTGGGATGTTTTTTAAGCAAGTAGGGGACTTTATCAGAAGGTATCCGAGACAAAGATTTAACATCCTGTTGCTATTATTGCTCAGATTGCAGTTTTTAAATATGGATTTGAATATTTCTCTTAGTATCATATGAGTCTGATTATATTTCCTCCATTTCCAGTGTTCTTATTTTCCTTTGCTAAAGCTCATAAAGAATTTTGAAGAGCCATGAGGGTAGTATGAGTAGGTCATCATGGTGCCCTAAAAATAACCCTGGACTTGGAGGGTTTTAAGTTTACCAGATGGGTGCTTGTGGACAAGTTTCTTTGAGCCTCAGGTTCCTCTTCTGTAAAATACAAATGTTATATCTCCTGTCTCAGGATGGTTTTGAGGAAAGCATCTTGTGGAACTTTAAAGCATTTTAGAAATGCACTTTGTTATGATGATGATTCCTAACTTTGATCTTCTCACCCTAGGCTGAGCGTGGGCCCCTTGACCTCAGTCCTGGGTTGGAAGAGATAGCAGACTTCAGTGAGATAGAAGCTGAGCCCAATGAGGTAGAGGATTTTGAAGCCCGAGGGAGCCGTTTCTCCAAGTCAGCTGATGAGCGACAGCGAATGTTAGTACAGAGGAAAGATGACCTGCTGCAGCAAGCTAGGAAGTAAGTTGATTCTTCAGAGCCATCTCTAGGGGTTAGGTTCTGTGTAAATCCTAATTCATATCTTCTGTGATTGCTGGAACAACTTTTCCCTCAGCAATGTCCCTTCAGTAAGGGACTTATGTATTACACCAAGTACACAAGCATTGATGTTAAGTCTGTATATGTGCTTAATTGCTGTATGCTACCTTGTCATCTCTTATGCACAGTCAGTTGTACACGTGTGTGTCCTTTCATGTTTGTAGGTGGTATTGTTGCATATAATCTCTTTGAGGTCAAGGACCATATGTTGCTTGGTTTGCTCTGTAATGCAGGGTGTCCCCCAAAAGTCTTTGTGTAGTTTTAAGGTCTTCATCTTAGGACACCCTGTATATGTTGCCTAGGGCCTACATGCAAGTCAGTACTTATATTAATATAGTGTTTTTTGATGAGGGTGATATGCATAATGTGGTTTAGGTCTCTAATAGTTATATCCAACCCAAATAGCCTTTTAGTCCTTTTGTATCCATTTGACCCTTGTCGTTTTACTGGGGCATAGAGAACTTTTATTAGCTTGATCTAGGAATGAGGCATTATCTTTTTCATGGGGAAGCTCCGTCCTAGAGCCCCTCTCTTTGCATCTCTCATCCTATTCCTTCCTTACCTCCTTACAGACGTTACTTAAACAAAACTTCTGATGATGACCCAGCCTCAGAGAGCTGTCTACTCTCGGAGAGCCCGTCCTCTGATCCCGTGACCCAACGCCGCAGGATGTTGGCTGCTGCTGCTGAACGAAGACTTCAGATGCAGCAGAACTCCTAGCGTTCTCTTTTGCCCTCCTCTGCCACCTCCTCACGAGCAGCGTGCCGAGCTGCTGTCCTTCATCCCAGCAGGAAGAGGCCTTTTCCCGTTCTGCCAGCTGTGTGGAGGAGTGGGCTTGACTGCATTGCCGCTGTACAAAGCATGTGGTCTTACTAGTGTTTGGACAGCTGACAAATTTAATCTTCTTTTGTAATATTTTCTATGTGATACTTCTCCAGTTCCCTTGCCCACTCTGGGGGAAAAAAAGCCAATTTTAATTTTAGGCATTATCTCTGCTGGCACTGACTGAACTGCCAGGTTGAGTTGGAGTAGCAAGGGGTAGTCTGGAAGGGCAGCCAGAGGCCCAGTGGCAGGCAACTTAAATTACCTGCTTTATATACATAGGTCACTGAAGGTATTAGTATCTTAGTTCAAAAACAATCTGGCAGGGACATGCACAGAAAAATTCGTAGAATGCTTACTAGATCAGCTAGCAAGCCTCTGCTTACCATAGAGGCATTCATTATGTTATAAAGGCCACCCCCACAGCAGTTCTCCCTCTTACGAAAGAAGGGACGTGTGAGGAATCATGGGAAATGAGTCCTTGGCGTGACAGCAGAAACAAGAGGTTGTTTGGCTACATGATTGAAAGAAGAAAATAAATAGCTTGCAGGGAAGTAACCTCTATTTAGCTCAGCCCATCAGTGGTTTAACCTTTATACACCTCTTTGCCCTAAGCTGGTTTTATTTCCGTTAATTCTGGTGCTGTGTCCCTTGTGTATACTATCCACGTGTCCTTTCATTTTCCTTCTGTGCATTTCATTGCCACCTTTAGATGCTTGGAAGGTCAGCACCAAGTGGGTTAAACAGTGAGCATTAGTTTGGATTTTTGATTCAGTGTTACAGTATGTTTGGTAATTGGAAAGTCTATGGGTTTGGTCCTTGGAGTGGCAAAGGACATAGGTCTAGTAAATGAGATAGTCATTATCAAAGGGCTTTGTTGAAGGAATAGAAAAAACTTTGGTGTCTTGGTAACTACTCCAGTTAGCTTAATTACACTTAGGTAAGAAGTTGAGTCCATCCTAACCTTTTCAAATCCATCGCACATTTGATGTTAAAGATCTGAAACACAATCGTAGGTTACACAGTTCAGTTTGTCCCATTGGAGTGATTTTTAAAAATTAAACATAATCTTATCACAGTTCTTTTGGGAAGAATCCAGTATTATCTAGAATTATTGGCAAAGTTAAATGTTTTGGTTTTTTTTTTAATGGCAAGTTTTTAGGCTGTTTAAAGGTAATTGGGAAAAGGGTGTAATAGTAAATATGTAGGCAGAGATAATTTATTTCAATAAATTTTTCAAAAGCCTTGCATTGCAGTGCTGTTTAGTAAACTTTTGGAAACTTCTATGATTTTTTTTTTGTTTTGCTGAGAGCATAGTTATTTGTTTCTGTTTTTATTGTTAAAAAAAATAAAAAGCAAATTCTTCTGGGTATGTCATGATTGGAATCTAAGCCCTTTCTCAGAGGTGCCAACTTTGAATGCCACTTTAGTTTCCATGTGTCATTCTTATTAAAGTGTTTTTCCATAAAGCCATTTTTTTCCTACTTTTTAGTTTGGTTTAATTTTCCATTATATTTATTGGAGAAGGTAAAGCCAAGATTATCTTCCTATGGTATTACTGTCCAGATTCCTACAAGCAGCAAAGAAAAAGCTTTTTGATGTACTATCTTAATTTACATATTTAGCACCTTTCAAAAAAGACGTACTTCAACATTTGATATCGCTGACTATAATAATTGGATTCAATACTGACTGGATTCCATGTGACAAAGGCTTATAAAATTTGAAATGGAATGCTACTTATAATAATTCTTGACTTAATGTAGCAGAGAGATGAAAATATTTGGAGGTTACTCTTAGGACTGTTCTTTTTTCTTGTCCAGGATACATCAGTATATCATAGTGATAAAAGTGATAAATATTACAGTGGCCCTGTGATTTCATCAGTGTGGGTATTTCCTCCATCTTTGTTTTATCATCTTGTGCTGTTGTTCAGTCATGTCTGGTTCTTCGTGACCCCATTTGGGGTTTTCTTGGCAAAAGTACTGGAGTGGTTTGCCATTTCCTTCTGCTTTTTTTTTTTACAGGTGAGGAAACTGAGGCAAACAGGTTTTAGTGACTTGACAGGGTCACACAGCTAGTAAGTGCCTAAGGCCAAATTTGAACTTGGGAAGATCAGTCTTCCCGGTTCCAGGCCCAGCACTCTATCCACTACACCAGCTAGCTGTTCATATCATCCTGTGCAATTGTTCAGAGATGGTAGTGTTTCAAGATGTGCAGTCATGCATTTGTATTAAAAAGATGAATCTTTGCAGTAATGAACGGCTTGGGAATCACTGAAAGCACTACAAAATAATACAGCCTACCCTTTTCTTATTTAGTTCTAGATCCAACTTATTGTCCATCTTCAATGCTTGTCTCAGATACATGTACTTGTGTACTAATAAAATGAACTTTCTATTCAACTGCAGGTCTTAGTCTGGACAATAGGTATTTATTTTTTCCTATGGGAATTGTTAGGCCTAGGTCTTGAATATTAGGTGATGAACATTTGTAAGGCACCTACCAAAAGTCTTTTTCCTGAAGGAACTTCCATTCTTTTTTTTGTTGTTTTTTTGTTTTGCTTTTTGGTGAGGCAGTCAGGGTTAAATGACTTGCCCAGGTCACACAGCTAGTAAATGTCAAGTGTCTGAGGCCGGATTTGAACTCAGGTCCTCCTGACTCCAAGGCCAGAGCTCTATTCATTGTGCCACCTAGCTGCCCCAAGGAGCTTCCATTCTACTGGGGAGATGCAGTGTGCTTACAGATAAGTAAATATAAGGCACTTTGAGGAGAGAGCAAGCACTGATTTGGGGGAGGAGTGATGAAGAAGGGCTTTGAGAAAGAAGTGGCACCAGGGTTGACCCTTGATGGAATCTAGGAATCCCAAAAGGCAGGGGTGAGGAAAGGGTGCATTACAGTCTTGGTGGACTCATGTACAAAAAGACTTGGAAATGTCAGGTTCCAGAATAGCTAATAGACCAGTTTGTTGAATATGAAGTTTGTGAAGGAGAGTTAACATGAGATAAATCTGAAAGGTAGTTGGGAGCTAGATTGCTGAGTGTTTTAAATGTTAGTTTGAGTTTTGTATTTTGTCCTAGAGGCAATAGAGTACTCCTGAAGATTGAGGAAGTTCTGTAACATTTGGGGGTTTAATGCAATTAACACGATATCAGCCACAAACAAACCTTATAATCTACAGGAAATTCCCCTTCTTTTTGAATCTGACATGGGGCGTCCCAATAGCATTTTTCTTTGCATTTATCAGAGAATTTTGTCTGGTGTTGATATGTATGGGAGATTCCTTGTGGAAGAAGAGACTTGGATATTTTTGGTTTTGTGTCAAATGCTTTCCTGAAATCAGTAACCAAACATTGGCATCTTATATCCTTGGTGTCTGTTAGATCTGTGGCAATAAAAATGGACTTCTGTTAGAGAACACTGAGAAAGACCTCATATTTTCATCAAGGATGTGTACATATACATGGATTTTTATAAAGATAAGAAAATAGATGTATGAGTTAATACTTAATGATGTTTTTCTGAAAACTTTTTTTTAAAATAGTAATTATCATTCATGACTCCATTTTTCTGGAATATTTGCCTTGAGTACCATTTCAGTTTCCTCATGTTGAACATCATGGACTGAAATGTTAAAGCCCAAATTTGTTGATGTTAACTGATTATGAGGATAGATCATTATAGAAATGTTGACAAATGTTTTTCATTCTATTTACTATTTGCAAGTTCCATTCATAAATTCTTAGGATAATGTGGGTCATTTGGTTCTCATGCCAAGATTCTGTAGACTTACTTCCCCTGCCTACATAAGGCAATACTAGTAATCTTTTACAATCCTCTTCCATGAAGTTTATAAGTGAGTTTGTTTTCTAAACTGCCCTTGGCTTCCAGATCTCTCATTTTGATAAAGATCATAGAGTTAGAGCCAGAGTGGATCTTGGGGACCATCGAGTCCAAACCCTTCATTTTACAAGGTGAAGAAACAGATTCAGAAAAGGTTGAGTTCGGTTTTTGCTAGAAGTGATGATGTCCAATATTAATATCTTTATATTTTTCCATTTCCAAATATAATTATAATGTGATTATTGTTTTTCATCGTGAATGGCTTCTTTGAATAGATTGGAGCTGTTTCAGTTCGTAGCCTTTACCTGTTCTGATTTGATGTTGATTTTGGCCTTTGCTCTAACCAGTCTATAGTCCGACTTCCACACAGCTGATTCTGATATGACTCCTCACATCAATAACCATTTGTTCCTGTTTAAGATACAGTTAATTTCATTTTTGCTGAATTCATTTTAAATCTCAGTTTTATTCGTCTCAGGGTTAGCACTTAAACTAAATTGTGAGAGCTAGATGTTAGAGAAAGGATGTGGAAAGAGAAGCAGCTATGGGAATTTAGGTAGGGATAGTCACTGTGGATTTTTTTTCCTGCTTCTATAGCAGTCACTTTCCTGCAACATGACCCCCTTGCAAGTTTCTCATTCTCTTAAGGGACTTGGTGAATTCTTTTTGAAAACTCCGTCTGCTGAAATTAAGAACCCAGCTCTTGGTTCTGTCTTTATTGGAAGCAAAGAATAGTAAATTACTGTCTTCCCTAGAATGTCTTGCTAAGTCATGTCTTTTTTAAGCTTTTTTTCCCCCTGGCTAATTCTGTTTCTCCTTCTCATAGGTCTCATTTTGGTCATTTTTTCCCTATACCCTGTACCCAGTTTTTCTGGGGGAGGGAGAGAGGGTGTTCCCATCCCCTCCTAAAATCATACAGCTTTAAACAATAAAGAAAAAAAAAGTGCCTTCAGATGAACATGGCTTTTATACAGAGGGAGAGAGAATTTGTATGTCTTTGTGTTTGCCTGGTGATAAGTTCATTGGCACAGGCGCATCGCCTGCCTAGAATGTGTTTTTGTTTGAAGCCATTTGAACCCAAGGTCTTTGGAATTCAGCTGTGTTCACATGTACCATTTTACTTTGAGTCAGTGAAAGCTGCTGGGGAGTTTGACCTTATCCATTTTCTCTGTGGTTTGGCTTTGAATTGGAAATGTCATCTGAGCTGAAGGAAACAAATCAGAATAAATAGGATGAACTTCTGAGTTAACACTAAAAGACCACAGCCTAAAGTGAAGAAGTAGAATATCAAAGGAAGACTTATAGTCCCACCAACATAAGCCCTTCTTCCTTAGGAAGTGAGCCCAAAACATTGCTGCATTTATTCTATTTGAATTGTAAGATTCTCCATGACTTGCTCCCACTCTGTCTAACCAATACTTCCCGCTATTCTTTGATAAAAACAGTATGTTGCAGTTAATACATATTGTTCTTTGCTGTTTCGTGTGCGTGTGTGTTTTCTCCCCACCTGGAATGTAAGCTCCTCCAGAACTGGTGACTCATGCTTCTGTGCCCCCTTACTGCCCATTTATAGGCGGAGGAGGAGGAGGAGGAGGTGGTTCAGGTTGCCTGAGCTCCTATCTCAGCGCTTTTGTTTGCCCTACTTGTTGGGCCTGGAATACCAAACTGCTTATCTAATCCCTGCCCTTCCTTCAAGGCCCATCTCAAATGTCTCCTGATTGCTGTAGCACAGAGGATCTCTCTCTCCTTTAGTCCACTGTGATGTAACACTTTTACCCTCTACCTCATGCTGTAGTTTGCAGGCTTATAGGACTGATGCCTGGATGAGACCTTAGACATCATCGAGTCCAACTATGCTTCCTCCTCCTCCCTGCCTTGCCTCCATTTCATCGAGGAGAAAACAGGTGAAAGAAATGGAAGTGATTTGCTCAAGGCTGCACAGGTAGTAAAGAGCAGAGATGAAATCAAAATCCAAGTCTTCTGATGCCAAATCCATTATACCAGTTGTATGTTCACATCTCTGGCTTACAAAATCTCAACTTCATGAGGGCAGAGGATTATATTCCCAACTGCACCTAATATAAGACTCTGCACTTGGTACTCAAAAATACTGAAAAGATTTGCTGAAGTGATTTAAGAATAGGCAATGAATGTTTGGTGACTAATTTCCTCCAGGCTATTAAGCTGAGTTTTTATTGTTATTGATAAATAGGAGCCTATTTGTCTGGCCTAAGGCCAGAAAAGGGGATTCTATATGCTTTATTATATGTCCTTTCCATCTGATGTTATTCCCTTAGACTTTCTTATTTTAAGGCCAGGAAGGAGAAATCTCTTTAATTTTTGGCAAGATCAGTTTTGCAGTTAGGGGTAGAATCCTGTTGTGGCCTATTATATTCACCAATCAAAGCACTTCCCAGACTACAATATAGGTCTCAGTTCTACCCCCTCAAACTAGCATTTTCGAAAGGATTCCAACTTTCAAGGGGATGAATTAGCTTAGAGGAGGGGAGTGGACAGTTCTTACCAGTATCAAGGAGCAAGAAGCTTCAAGAACTCAAATATGGCTTGGACCACATCAACTACATGTCCCTTGGAAGGTATTTAACTTGAAAGTGGCTTCCTAGTCATGAAATGTCTAGCCGCTAAACTGCCTCTTTGACAAGACATACAAAAGAGTGAAGTTTCCTTCAATGCATTTTGGTCAGAGCACTGGATTCATAAAACTTGGATTCACACACTGACTCACATCTTAATAGCTCTTTGGCCCTCGATAAACTAATTTGAGTCTCAGTTTCTTCATTTGTAAAATGGAGAGAATGCTTGCATTCCTGACTTCAGGTGTGTCATAAGGAAACTGCTTAAAGTACATTGTAAATGTGGCTTGTCATGTGGCCTAGATGAGCAACTGAAGGGATTTCACACTTAGCAGTCAGTGGTCCAGGGGTCATAGGTTTATAACCAGAGTTTGGTTTCTGCAGGCCAAGTCACCAACCTTGATAGAGTGATGGCAGGGCATCAGAACAAGGCAGCTGAGCCATGGCGATCAACTTTTTATCTTGGTCAGAGATTCCTCAGACCTGCTTCCTTTGCCAGTGGGCAAAGTTAGTAATAGGATCTTCTCACAGATTCATTATGAGCACTTTCTGTGGCTGGTGGTACAGATTAGGGTAGAGGTAGCATGAGGGTGGTGGTTGGGACTGAGAGAAACTGGGTTTTGCTTTATCAGGAGACCAAAGGTTATCTCCCCTCCCCCCCCCAAATCCTAATCCATCCAGAAAGAAATCAGTGGAGTCTAATGAGATTGAGGAAAGGGAAATAATGACATCTGTATAGTGCTTAAAAGTTTGCAGAACATTACTCATATTTAAGCCTTTGTGGCAAACATATGAAATAATTTCTACAGCTGTTACTGAGGCCCATTTTTACAGATAAGAAAGTGAGACCAGAAGAGGTTAAGAGGTCTGTTCAGGGTCACACCATGTCAGAGATGTGATGTAAACTCACTTCTTCTGGTTCCATGTCCAGCACTCTACCCATTATAACACACTATGCATGGTGGGATTTTCCTATTGTACCAAGTTCTCTGTGCTCGGGCATTGGAAGAAAACTTGGAAGAAGGTGACTGCATGCTTTAAACCCATGGCTGACCAAAGACCAAATTCATAAGACCCAAGAAGAGGAATGGGAGCAGCTGTGAGGCCTAATTCATCCTGACCACGTTTGTTTGTTTCTCTCTCATTCAAATGTGAGCTTCTTAGGGGAGAGATCCACAGTGCTTAGCACAGTTCCTGATAAATAGTAGGTGCTTAATAAATGCTTGTTTGATTGACTGCTCCCAGACCCAGAATGAGAGAACAAGTTATCTTTTACCTTTCTTGAATGGAAGAAACCCAAACCAAATGATCATAGTCTCAAGAATACAGACAAACATTCTCTTTATTGAGCTACACATGAATTTTCCATTAGTCAGAGAAATAGACTGGCAGTGTGTAAGATAATCACAGAAACCTCACTGATTGGGAATAGAAAGGCTTAGAAAGACCCATGGGCTTTTTTTTCTTTTTTTTTCCTTTTTTTTTTTTAAAGTTTGTGTGTGTGTGTTTGTGTGTTTTTGTTTTGGTTGCTTCCTCTTTATTTGAAATGTCTGTGACTGGTTCTGTCTCAAAAGTTGTCTTAAAAGTGAAATTGTGAAGAGGTCTAGGGGTTTGGTTACTAATCAAAGTAGAAATGACAAAGGACATGAAAATGGTGGCTTTGATGTAAACACTACATTCGATTTTTTTAAAATTTGTGTGTGTAGGATTTTTTTTTCTGTTTTGTGGTGTTTTAAAATTTTTTTTGTGTTTTTAATTTTTGTTCTGTTTCTGCAGCACAAACATCTCCACATGAGAGAGAAAACACAATCCACTAAAACAAAGGAGGAAGAAGGAAGAACAGCACAAAAGAAAAGCATTCACTAGGAAGGTTAAGAACTTAAAAAAAAAGGTTAAAAATTTAAAAAGAAATGAAACCCCAAGATTCCCTAAAGAGCTTAGAAGCCTGTCTTGGCATGTGATACACAATGTTTGTCAGGGACAAAAAAAAAGTCCAGATAAGAAAATAAAAAAGTATGGGAGGAAAATAGGGAGAGAGAAAATATAAACATATGTACTTGTTGGCAGCTACCAGCCAGTGAGCGCAGTGCTTTTTCTATACAAACCTGCAGGGTTAATGACAGACAGGCATCTATCTGCCTTGGGAATGGGATCTAGGGATCAGTCGTGCCCCGGGGGAGGGGGAGGGGGAGGTCGAGGTGGGGAGGGGGAGAGGCTGGGAATGGAGGAGGGAGGGGAGAAGGGCGCTGCCTGACCAACAGTGGTCTGTGGGGATTTCATTCACTCCAGCTGAGTCAAGGCCTCTGAGGCTCTGAGAACTCACCCCAAAGTGCAGCTCCAACGCCCCAGTGAAAATGTCAGGCTGAGGCCAGCAGCTGCTGCTGTACCCTCTCTAGCCAGGCTGGGTAGTGGGCAGTGTGTAAATTCTATAAAATAATGGGGACTAGATGGAGGGTGAGGGTGGAGGCTGAAAGGGAAGACGATTTGTCCTTTCTTAACTACAAGAGCACATGAGCAATGTTGGGGGGAGGGTCCTTTTTAGTTTTGTTTTCATTGGGCTTCTAAATGTGTAAAGACTCAGCTAAAACCAAACGCTACGGCATTCTACAGAAACACACAGCCATCCTTCTGGGCTCAGTACATTACACATGGACTTTAGAAAGAAAGGCCGTTTCTTACAAAGGCCAAAAGGTCATGCTACCAGTGGATCAACGCCAACAGGACAGAGAATCCGTGAAGCATTCTGTAGAGAGAGAGACAAGGGGGTCCAGTCTGACCGTCTTCTTTCATTCTTAAGAAACAACAATAACAAAGCAATGTTTGTACAACTTCTTAGCATGGGGTGGCAGCCAGGGATTGGGAGAGGGGAGGACATCCCTGTCTGAGATGAGGGGAGTTGGGGGGGCGGAGCAGGAGCACAGGTGAGAGGGGACAGATAGCACTGCAATTTGTAGAGTACCCTCTCACAGAATTTAAAAATGAGGCAAGGGAGGGGGATGGGGGGCAAGGCCCAGTGAGGAAGGAGCCACCAAGCCTCAGTTTTCTTTCTGTCCTTTTTCCATAAGAACCCACCTTTAGATTGGCCCTGAGGGGGCATCCTGTTTCGGCCAGCAAAGCCCTCACCCCACCCTGGGTCTCTCCCTTGCCCCTGCCAAAGGCCTCCTTTCAGTTGGGTTTCTGCTTATTTTTTCAGGAACATTTTTCAGGAACACCGGTATTGGGTACTCCTTTCCCATTGCTGGTGTCAAAACACAAACACCATCTGCCCCTTCCTCTGCTTTTAACTTGGGAAGGAAATAGCATTCCACGAATGAAGAACTGGCTGGGGGCTATGGATAGCTCAGGGAAACCATCCTGCCAGGTCCTCTTAAAAATAAATAAATAAATAAATGTCCTATGAGGATTTTTTTTTTGGTTGGGGGGAGGGAGTAAGGAGGAGGAGGAGGAGGAGGAAGGAAATGTATAGTGTTTCTTTCACAGGCTTTAGAAAACACAAGAGTTGAACCCAACTGACTCAGCTTCTACCCCATGGGTAATGGGGCATATGAAATGGTTCACTTCTTCCTCCTTCCCCTCAAAAGTAAACTATTTTTTAAAAAAAAGATCACGTTACTTTAAGAGGGGCCCACTGAAACTGGTAGGACAGATTCCAAAAACCTTCACAGGTTATTGAGAAGATTAACGTTTTTGCTCTTTTTTCTCTTTTGTGTGTGTCATCCCATTTTGTCAAATCCTCCCAGGGAAGGTCTTAATGGGCTATCACAAGGCGGTCAGTTCTGTCCGTAGTTCTTTCTAAGACAAACTAAAAAGATTTTATATATATGTTTATATATATATAATTTTCTGTTATGCCTTTTTAAATTTTATTTACCAACTTGCATTTGTTAGTGTGTGTGTGTGTGTGTGTGTGTGTGTGTGAGAGAGAGAGAGAGAGAGAGAGAGAGAGAAGATTTTCTGTGAGTGTTGGAATCATTACCAAATAAGTTGCTACACAGGACAAGAGGTCAGTATAAGCCGCATCCCCGGAGATTGTTGGCAATGATGATGTCAGTGACGGCATCGAATACCACCTGGATGTTATTCGTGTCTGTGGCACAAGTCATGTGACAGTAAATTTCTTTGTTGGGTGAGCGGTTTTTGCTTTCAAATTGTGCTTGGATATAGGCGGCTGCATCTTCATAGGTGTTAGGGCCTGCAGGAAAATAAGGCAGAGAAGAGATAGAGTCTTAGGTTCAAGGCTGATAGGGGAAAGAAGCATATTGATGGACTGGATGGGAAAGAAACCAAGGGGAGAACAGTAATTCATGGGGGTCTGGGGATCCATTGGTCCTTCAACCACAATGATGACAGGAGAGGGGAGTGTGGTGGGAGAGGCAGTATTTTAACACTGGGTACTTTAAAGTGTTTTTATTTCTTCCCTTGATCCTCACAACAACCCTGTGAGGGAGGTCCAGCAGATGTTATCCCTATTTTCCAGATGAGGAAACAGACTCTGAAAGGCTAAGAGACTTGCCCAAGGTCACACTGTTGATTAGTGGCTGAGCTGGGAGTTAAATGCAGTTCTCCTCCCTCCAATCCAAGCTTTTTCTATAAAAATATAAATGCCTTGCATGTGTTAGCACCTTTCGTTTTCCATTTTCCCCTGCTCAAAAGCTGTTAAAAAATTCTCATCTCTTAAATAGGTCCAGATTCTTTAACCTGGCATCCTAATCTCTCCACCAGTTGGCCCTAACACACATTAACAGCCTCATCTCCCACACATACTCTCCTTTCCAGCCATATTGGACTAACTATACCCTCTTTGTTAAATTTTACTCATGCTGATTTCTTCCTCTTGGAATTCCCTGTTTCCTCGCTACTTACCCAAATCCTGTCAGTCCTTCAAGGCCTAGCTCAGACCCTCTTTCAAGAAGGCCTTACTGGTTCCCCTAGTGAGACATTTCTCCCTCCAAAGGTATCTACTTACCTTTATATATTCTACCTTGTATTATAATTCCATATGTACTTGCCTTATCTCCCCTGAGGCCATAATTTCCTTAAGGGCAAAGGCTCTCTAGCTCTACATAATAGCACAGGGCTCTGTCGAATACTAGGAGCTCAAAGGGTCAATTTTCCCTCTACTACCTCATTTGCTCCTCTCAGCAACCTCATGAGGTTAATAGGGCAGGTATTACTATCCCCATTTTACAGAAGAAACTTGGCCTCAGGAGAGGTAAAGTGATTTGTCTCCAAGGTTATATGCAAGTAATTTTTGTATATGGCTAGGACTAGAACCAGGACCTTTGCCTCACCATCCAAGGCTTTTTCTGGGTTTTTTTTTTTTTTGCTTTTTAGGCAACTGGGGTTAAGTGACTTGCCTAGGGTCACACAGCTAGTTAAGTGTCAAGTGTTTGGTCTGAGGCTAGATTTGAACTCAGGTCCTCCTGACTTCAGGGCCGGTGCTCTATCCACTGCGCCATCTAGCTGCCCCCAAGGCTTTTTCTACAACATCATTACTGTCTTATCCAAACATCCTTCTTTGTCAACTGTTAAGATAACCATGCATGCTTCATAGAAACAGAGAGAATGGAGGCTGACACAGACAACCTAATATCTGTCTTAGGCTCTTTGAATCTTAGAACAAGGCTGGTCAGTCCATGTCAATCCCGCGTAGACCTAAAGTCATTCTTTTCCTTCTGTTTTCTCAATATCTCTCTATCTCTGATATTGCTCCCACACTAGTGGCTCCCTCTAATGAGAAAGCACACTACCAACTACCCTCAGGATGGTGATGCAATTCCAGACAAGTTTGTTACCCAAGGTGATCTTCCATAGGGCCCTGTGTAGTGTTAGTTTCTCCCAGTGGGCACCAATTACTCACTAATTGACTTGGGAATTTTTGTGGCTCACTTGGATTCTTAGAGTTGTTTATAATAGTAATGGTTGTATATAGTCCATGGAAGGTAGCATGGACCTCCTGTGTGCCAAAGGTATTAGAGTAGACCACTGGAAAAGTGTTGGGGTCAACAGTCAACATTTCTCAGGGCACCAGGTGAGCCCTGCACCTGTTTTAGTTTTAGCTAGCATCAAGGTGTCCCTGTTTGCCACAGCATCATCACTTATGCAAACTCACCATCTTAGAAGCAATTTTTGATTACAAAAACTGAGGATGGATACCACAAAAGATGGGTTGTACCTTGTATATAACAAGTGCTTAAAATGTTTATTGGATTCAATAAGTTGAGAAGGAAAGGTTGAAGTTGGTGCCGTTATGTGGAGAAGTCGGTTAACAATCCCTTATTATGCCTTTACAATGCACCAAGCACTGTTCTAGGCACTGGAGGAGGAAGAATGATCCTGGGAAATCTGGCCACTTTTCCTTTGGACTTCACACCTTGGGAGAAGTGTGCTAGGCAGGTAAGGCTTTCTGCTGGTCCAGCTCAAGCATCGCCTTCTCTGTGAAGCTTGGCCAGAATTGCCTATCTCACCATGATCTTTCCATTTCTCTAAAGCCCCCAGCACTTACAGGGTCTATACCATACTATCATACCGCTGCTCAAAAAAGCTGTTTCTCTAGTTGTTCTTCTACATTATGTCTTTATTCATCTCCAGCTAGACTGTGTACTCCTCAGGAACACGTCATCTCCTTTGGGAAACTCAGGGCCACAGCTAGCTAAGGTAGATGACTGATTATTTGTCCCAGTCTGTAAAGACTTGGAGGTTTCTTTAGCTTCTGGGAATCCATTCTGGTGTCGGTCATATTTGTAGTGAAGACAAGCAGAGAAAAGAATAATGAATTGGAGATGGAGAGGCCTTAGAAAAGTGGACAGAGTTGAATTTGATATGGAAATGAGACTTTTGAGGGAGGAGAGAGAAAGCCAAACATGTAAAGGAAAAGAGAGGTGGGTCTGGTGGTGGCTGCAAGTGTTGTGGGTGGGGATGGGTAAGAAGGTTCATCTATAGAGTTATGAGAACGTAGAGGAAGGACAACTGAGGGAGAGTTCGAGGAGCATGAATGAAAGGAGTTGAGAAGTTTCTGGAGGATGAACTGAGGTACGGCTAACATGTTCTGTCCTGGTTTTATTGTAAGGGAGTATGAATGAGCCTCTACTTGGAACATCCCATGGAAGATGAGAGACAGAACTCACCCAGAGAGTCTTTCCCAAACTCTGACATCTATTCATGGACACTCTTTTGGGTTCTCTAAGCTCCCCACCAGACTAGGGGTCTCCTTCCTAGGTAGCATTCTTCACTGTTCTCATTGGTAAGTTTACCCCATCTGTCTCCTCTGGCTTCCTGGCCCCAGGAACCAAACCAGGGGCACTGTAACACCTACCTGTGTATTCAGGGAAGCAGATGGTCAAGGGTGACTTCTTGATCTTCTCAGCAAATAGATCTTTCTTGTTGAGGAAGAGAATGATGGAGGTATCAATGAAGAACTTGTTGTTACAGATGGAGTCGAAGAGCATGAGAGACTCGTGCATGCGGTTCTGTCACCCAGAAGCAGGTTTGGTGAAAAGAAAGCAAGACAGAAAGCAACAGACAGAGATAGAGGACAGGAGAGAAGAGAGAAGGAGAGAATTAGGTTTGAGAGAGAAGTCTTTAGACACAACAGCTCAACAACTCAGCCACCATACAAATCTTTGGGGCCACAGAAGCAACAAGTCCTTAAGGACGCCTCTGATGGAACTGAACCTGGCTGCTTAAACCAAACTTTGTAAACCCCACTTAGCTACAATCCTTGGCATTCATGTAACACTTTCAAATTTCAAGGCTTCTTTCCATTCATTACAGTCTTTCATTTGCCTCATAGGACAACCTTGTAAGATAGTGCCAGGATTATCATTCTCAAGTGACAGATGAGGAAACTGAGGTCTGGAGATTCTAAGGGTACATGACTAGTTAGGACCAGAGCAGGGACTTAGACCTCAGATCCAACCCAGACCTCTTTCCACCAGGCCATGTTTCTCTCAGGAGAAAGAAACATGGGACTCTTCTGACTGCAGGAGTTGCTTCTGACAATAATAGCTGACATTTCTATAGTGCCTTATGGTTTCCAAAGAGCTTTACATACACTGTTTCATTTGATCCTGAGATTGGAGCCGCCCTTTCTGAACCCAACCAATACCTATAGATAGTATTACAGAGCTGGAAGAGCCCTTAGAGTCATTGTCATCTAACCCAACCCACACTCAAAATGTCTTTCACCTCTGCCCATTCTTTTTAAAATGTCTTCCACACAGTTAGTCAACAAGTATTTATGAAGCACCTACTATGTGCCAGGCTCTGTACTAAGTGCTGGGGATACAAAGGCAAAAAATAATTCCCGTTCTCAAGGTGCTCACAGTCTAACGAGGGAGACAGTACACAACAACTATGTACAGGATAAATAGGAGATAAGCAGGGAAGGCACTAGAATTAAGGGGGATATAGAAAAGCTTTCTTGTAGGAGGTGGGATTTTAGCTGAGGCCTGAAGGAAGCCAGGAGATGAGGAGGGAGAGCATTCCAGGTGTGGGAAACAGCCAGAGAAGATGTCTGGTGTCAAGAGACAGAGTGTCTAGCGGGAAGATCAGCAGTGAGGTCCGGGTCATCGAACTTCAGAGGTACACGTGGCTGTGAGTAATGTGGAAGAAGGATGGAAAGGTGGGAGGGGTCCAGGTTATGGCCTTAAACCCCAAACAGAAGCTCTTCGCCTTTTCATAATAATAGTAATAGCTGACATTGGCACAATGCCTCAAGTTTTGCCAAGCTCTTTATAGACATCATTCTCATTGTATTCTCCCAGCAATCCCTCAAAGCAAGCTCTGTCATCACCCTCATTTTCCAGATGAGGAAACTGAGGCCGAGGGAGGCCGGGTAACTTACACAGGCACATGACTAGTAAGTGCCAGAGGTGAGAATTGAGCCTAGGTCTCTCCCAACTCCAGGCCCAGAGGTCTTAGCACTGCATCCCTCTGCCTAGCCTGGCCAATCGACCAACAAGTTAATCACCAAGCATATTTATCAAATGTTTGCTATGTGCCAGGCACTGTGCTAAACACTGGGGATTCAAAGGTAAAAGTGAAACAACCTCTGTCCTCAGGAAGCTTTTAATTATATGTAATATACCATAAATTATATGTAATAATTTAATATCGCCTATATGTATATATTTATATATATGCGTGTGTATATTCACATAGGGACCTATGGGAATACAGATATATTGTACATGCATATATATTATAGATACAAAATGAATACAAGTCAGTTTGGGAAGGGTGGGCACTAGCAGATGAGGGGGGGATCAGAAAAGGTTTCATATAGATGGTGACGCTTGAGCGAAGTCTTGAAGGAAGCCAGGGATCCCTAGAGGCAGGGGTTTAGAGAAACTACATTCTGGACATGGGGGATGGCCAGTGCAAAGGTAGAGAGACAGAGATGGAGAGCAGTGTTTGCAGAACAGTGATCACGGAGGGGAATAATATGTAAGAAGATTGGAAAGGTAGGTTGAAAAACCAGGTTAAGAAGACCATCAAGCGTCAAACAAGAGTTAACATTTGATCCTAGAAGTAATAGGGAGCCACTGGAGTTTGTATACACTGAGTGTGTATAGCCAACTGCCTGTGTTCAAGATGGTAGTGACATGATCAGACCTGCCCTAGCCAGAACCCTACTTCCTCTTTATTTAACACATAAAATACTGCACTGACAACTTTCTAACTCTGCCTCCAGACTCTCCCTCATCCAAACTATTATGTACACCAATCATTTCCCTTGAAAAATGGAAAAATTTTAGATTATAATTTTTTAAAGAACAACAAATGATAATAGCATGTTTAGTGTCCACATGGTCCTGCCAGGTCCTTTATGTCCCCAAAATAAAAATGATGAAATAGGAAGACGTATGACATAAAACGATCACAATGTCTCCAGAGTAGAGGTACGCTTTTACAGTACTGATCTAAACTATAAAAGGAAGGTGCCTCCTGAAAGCATGCCCATCTTCACGAGGTAAAAATTCAATGCCTTCATAGAACTGTCACCTTAGGGCTTTGAGAAACATCAGAGGCCAACCCATTCAACTTCCTCATTTTACAGAGGAGGGATCACTGACTTGCTTAAGGTCACATAGGCTAATCCTGGCAGAGCAGGATTCAAACTCAGGTCCTGGGATTCTGGGTTTAACAGATCTTACCATCGCACTATCTCATCTCCTTTCATTGCTCCCTTTCTGGTTACTTTTAATCTAAATTAAGTTGGTAGAGATATTCCTGTCTTCCTGACTAGGCCTCAGAGGTCTGGGAGCAGAATGGACAAGAGCAGTTGCCTTCATTTATATTCCTGTAGAAACTAGAAGTAAGTTGCTTACCAGTGCCTTGTTTGAACAAAAGGCTTGGGGCAGAGAAAATAGCACGTCTTATTTATTTATTAAAAGGTAAAAGTTTAAACATATAGAAATGTAGAGCCTTGAATTATATTTTGGATTGTTCCACTAATTTTTTTTTTTTTACTGGTCCTGTGATTTCATTGACTTGAGTAGCTGGGAGGTGGGATGGTTAAGGAACCGGTATTTCCTCTGCCTCTGCCAACATAGATTAGCACATTTAATTTAGCTTCCTGAGCTGCCAACAGCTTAAGTGACTTGCCCATGGTCACACTGCTAATCTGTCAGAGGCAAGACTTGAAGCCAGGTCTTCCTAATCCCAAGGCCTGCTCTCTATCCACTGTATTACATTTATGTAATTCATAATTGTTTCCTTCTAATTCAGTCTTTGGTGGCAAAGTCACCAACCCAACTTCAGCCATGAGTTGAAGCTTGCAAGACTAGGAGGTTAATATATTGTTAAACCAGTGGGGATACCATTCCTGAATATGTACATGTTGTAGCTCACTGCCTATGTGCAAGCTACAGGAAGATGGCGGTTCAATGGAGAAGATTACTGGGCATGGAGGCAAAATCCTGCCTTAGACAGCTGTGTGACCCAGGGTGAGTCACTTAACTTCTGTCTGCCTCCGTTTTCTCATCCATAAAATGAGGACAATGATAGCCCCTACCTCCCTGGGTGGTTGTGAGGATCAGTGAGTTAACAAGTGCTTTGCAAACCTCAAAGTGCTGGATAAATATTAGCTGTTGTTCTTAGTCATCAACTGTAGTTCTCTTTTTTTTGGACCTCAGCAAACTGTGAGACAAAATTTTAGCATATAGAAACATTTTCACGTAAATTATTTGGAGGGAAAAATGTGATTTATGAGCATTATTAAGTATGAAATAGGCGTTTTCAAATGCTACAAGGATGACATCCTTGAATACAAAATTCTCCTGAAGACATTGAAAAAAAAATCAGATGGACCCTGATGAAAAAAAGAATAAGAAGCCTTTCTAGCTAGAACTTGTGATCCAGAAGCCCTTCATCTACTGCTGCCTCTGTACAGTTAGCATCATTCCAAAGAATTGCATGAGTAACAGAGCAGTAACTAGGGAAGGGCAATCAGGGCTTTGCCTTAAGGTGCCAAATTTAGGGGACACTGAAAACACTTGTAGTTCTTCAGCAGCATAGAAATAACACAATTTAGCAAGAAGAACTAGTTAAAATTAGAAGCTACCAGATGGCTCCCCTCTCTCCACCCCTTTCATCTCACCATCACCATTTTGAGGCCTCTAGCCTCAGGCTTAAATGGTGAAATGATCTGTGTCGCTTGCAGGACTGGAGGTTTAGAGCAAAGGTCAGGGCTGGAGATTTGGATTAGATTTAAACTGGTTAAAATGAGTTAAAACTCTTGAACAAAGACCAGAGTGACAATAGCTTGAGGTTGAAAAAGGGGGTACCAAGTTCCTTATCTTCTCCGTGTCCCAGAGCAGCTTTGTCAGCATCCACAGATAAGCAAACACTTTAAACAGCTATAGACAAATTATTCTGAATGAAAAGCTGCATGACATGACCTAAAGACTTAAAATCTGGAGGAGGCCTGCATTCAAATCCTGTCTCTAAGACTCAGGACACCCCACCCCACCCAGCCCCACCTCAGCCCCTCCATCTTCAAAATGGAAATGAAAACAATAACTGTCCACTATTCCGGGCTGGGGAGAGAAAAGTGCTCAGCAAACCATAAAGAATGACATACAACTGAGCTGCCATCATGATTGGTTTAGGAGATGATACCAGTAACAAAGCTTGTCTAAGAGCAATGCCTGAAAATACATCCTGGCAGTAAGTGTCTGATTTACAAAGATGATCATACTGTTTCCTCTATCCAAGGTCTTATTCTGATACCTCATTGTGGCATGGAGGTGACCCTGAATCTTCCTTTCAGTTCATTTAATAAATGTCTCCTCTGTGCAAAGTACTGGAGATATACAAAGACCAAAAAAAAAAAAGAAAGAAGGAAAAGAAAGAAAGAGAAAGAGAAAGGAAGAAAAAGAAAGAAAAGAAAAGGAAAGGAAAAAACCTAGAACTAACACTCTAGTGTGGTGTAGAGAGGGTGTTTATGTGTGCATACAGCTTAATT